TACTTGTCCACCAATGCTGCATGATGGTTACAAGCCTGATACACATTCATGAAGCCAATAATGCTGCCTGGGCACTGTCTATGCAAGGCAGGGTGCTAGGCACTGGACACTGAGGCAGGCAAGTGCTAGGTCCTCCTGGGCACAGAAGGCCTAGCAGGAGAGGGACATGATGACAAGGCAGGCACTTTGGGATGCTCTAGTGGGACAGAGCAGAGCAAACAGTGACTCTAGACATAGCAGCTATGTAAGGGATGCACAAGACATTTGGTGGGCCCTCAGATCTCTTGGTCACTGTGCCCCTTGGACACACCTGGTAATGTCTACAGACAGTGCTACTGACCGCTAGTGGGCAGTAATGATGTTGGTGAGCATCCAACAGTGCACAGGGTGGCCCCAAATGTCAGCAACCCTGAGCCAGAGAGAGCAGGTGGGTAGGGAAGGGCTCTGGGAATTGATAACCTACCCATGGTGGCACAGGTCTCCAGGAAGCTCTGAAAGAAAAGGGACAGATCATCCATGGAGAGGCCAGGATCTAAAATGACTGAGGATGCAGGCGAGGGGCCACCTGCCACAAGGGCCTCCCTGGCAGGATGAAGACCTGAGGAGACAGGAGCCCTAAGGAGAGCCACACTCTTGGGCACCAGAGGAAGAGCAGGGGACCGACTGCAGGCTGCAGTGCAGAGCTGGCTAATAGGCGCAGGCCACTGACAGGTAGTCTGCGAGGGCAGAGACCCAGGGGACAGGGCAGAGGAAGGAGTCCAGGCCTCCCCGACACTCCTTCATGGAGATGGGCAATGACAACACATCAGGGCTCCCTTTGAGGCCTGGAAAATCCCAGCAGAACCATAGAGCCTGAGTCCAGGTCCTGAACTCTGAGCAGATCCTGGGCAATAGACGTAGACCCAGACAACACAGAAAGGAGCCCTAGTGGTTCCTCTTTTCCTCCCCAGTTTTATCACAGTTTTCGTTACACAGAGGTATGTGCTCCAGGGACATGGGCTATTCACTGTGTTCACTGTTCTTCTGAGGACATGCACAATGCCTGGTACACAGTGGGGCTTTGGTAAGTGTCTGCTGGTCATATGGATGTCAGGCAGCAAGAGAAGGGCACACAGGGGTAGGAGAGATCCAGGAAGGGTGTGAGGGGTCCAGGGAGGCTGATTTCAAGGATAGCTGGTCATGTTGTGAAACTTCTCCCCAAGACCCAACCAGAGAAGGGCTGAAAAGCCTCATCTGGACAAACCCCTGGGAGTCCTCAGGAACAAGGATCCCCAGGGTGAAGACACAGACTAGCTGTGATGGAGGAAGATAAACACAAAGAGACGCCTGGCAGGGACAGGAAGAGCAGAGGGCTGGGTAGAACACAATGAGGAGGAACTCTCCTACCCAAACACTGGCACCTGCAATGGGCACCACCCAGCCCAAGGCTGCTAAAGCACTTCTGCCAGCTACAGCCCAGAGAGGTAGGTGGTGGCCCTGGAGCAGAAGGTCTGGGTCCCTGGCCAGACTCAGCCCAGGCAGCCATCCTTCAGTGTCAATCACTGCTGGGAATTTGGACCCACAAGCAGCCTCCTCTCCTCCTGGAGCCCCATGGACATCACTGATCTTTGCCATAAGCTAAATTGAGCACTCCTCTTCCATGCCTCTCACCTCCCTCAGTTTTCTTATCTTGGTCAACAGCCAGGCCTTCCTGCTGCCCACTCATGTCCCCACCATGCAGCTGGCTGTGTCACTGCTGTTGCAATCTTGCCAGACTCTTCTTGACCACTTCTCCCACCTCCAGGGCCTCATTCTTGTGAGGTATCATCTGGGCCTCAACACCTGGGCGGGCCTCCCAGCTCTGCCCTGGCCTCCTCACTGTGGTCCTCATTACAATCATTGAAAACCTGACTCAAGTCCTACAGCTCTAAGAGTCTACCCAATGCCCTCCTTGTGGTTGGCAGGGCCTGCACCACCCTCCCAGCCACCTCTCTAACCTGTCCTCCACTCTTGCTCTGTCTGATTCCAGCCAGTGGCTGTTTGGACACTCTTGCCCCAAGACTCTTGCATTGACTAGAATATTCTTCCCCTTTGAAGATGCCTTCCCTGACCACCCTTCCTGTCTATCCTTCCCTTACCTGCTCTGTCACCAAGGGACAGTTTACTCTGTTACTGCCCCTCCTAAAATGCAGGAGGGCTAGGGCCAAGAACCCCAGTATCCAGGACATAACTGGCACACAATAGGCACTTAATAAACACCTGAAGAACAAGTCAATGAACCTCCTTACTATGGTTTGGACATGATTTGAGTGTGTCCACCAAAGGTTCACATGCTGGAAGCATGGTCCTCAGTGTAGTAGTGTTGGGACCTCTGAGAGAGGCTTAGTGTGAGCTGGTTGGTCATAGGGAACGTTCCTGGGAAGGGATTAATGCTGGTCTTGCAGGACTGAGTGTTATAAACTGATGCCATCCCATGAACTTGGCCCCTTGTGCCTGCAGCTGTTTCCATTTATGCTTCTTTATCACATTCCAATGTAGCCAGGGTGGTTCTTGCCAAGACACCATGCTGTTGGAACCCTCCAGTCACTGGAATTATGAGCCAAATAAACCACTTTCTTTATAAGAAAGTACCAAGCCTAGGTATTTTGTTACGGCAACACAAAATGGACTAATATACTCTTCAAGTCCCAATTTCCAAGGGAATAATAGCAGCATTTTGCTGTGAAGACTCATTGAAATACTTCACAAAATGCACTGAACACAATACCTGCACACAGTGAGTTCCACCAAACACTGACGGTCAGTAAAATTTAATAACTGTTCTTTAAGTACTTTCACAGGTACGGCCTCTGTACTGCTCATGGTGGGGTTTCTCACCCATTCTGTGACACAGAGCCAGGGCTCCAGTCCCACCCATTTCTCCTGCCTCCAGATGCTGTTCTGCAGCTCCCTCTGGGCAGCAGGCCACTGAACCGCAATTTTATGTCGCTTTCTCATTCCCAAATGACTTTGAAGAACTTGTTCTTTCCCCACTAATCATTGCAAGATGTTCTACTGAATAATCTTTTCAAAATAAGGCAAATCAAAACCTTATGAAAAAAACACAATAAATACATAGACGCAAGCCGCCCATCTGCAAATCTTATTGCATGGCAATCCCGGGGCAATTTCGGACATTCCTGAGGGCCACAATGCAGCTTCAAATGAAGTGTGCAAAAATGCAGTGCTGGAAGGGCCAGAAGGAAATGATGAAAGGAAACTTGTGCATGAAGACGTGTCCTCAAGACTCTCCATGCACTTAGCCATCAAGTCCTAGTACTGTAGACCAGAGCACACTTGAGCTACTGCTTAGGCCAGGCATGCAGGGAGCCAAAGAATGGGATCTGTCTAGCTGTGGAGCCTACTGGCCTCCTGCAGGAGAGACTGCAACAGAAAGGAACACACACACTTCATCAGCCAGCTAGTCAGTGAGGATGTGGTCTTGTCTAGCTGGGACCTACAGTCTTTGTAACGGTCTGCATTCCTTTCTCTAGATTCTGCAACAAATTGCCACCAATCTAGTGGCTTCAAACAGCAGAAATGTATTCCCTCCCAAGTGTAGTGGCCAAAGGCTGAAATTGGTACCTTTCCCCTTCAGTATCCCACACACTGATGAGCTGGCTCTGTGTGCACAGGGGGCAGTGGAAGACAGTGCAAGGAGGCCAGAGGAGAATATATAATAGGACAAGCCAAAAGCACCAGGTACCACAGACACTCATGCTTTCTGAGGAGGCCACATCAGAAGGTTAGGGCCAGTGCTGGCATAATCTAGGCCTCATGCTCAGGGACCAAAGCTTCTTAGGACCAGGGGAAAGGTCATCCCCTGCTCTCACGCTCTCTGGTCTTCACCTCACCTCTGAACCCCTCTTTTCAGCACCCTTCAGAGCAGTGCCATTGTGTTCAGGAAAGTGGGATGGGGCCAGCACATTCGGACTATGGCTACTTTGAGATGAACCGCCCCACCCCCACCCACCCTATTCCCCCCAGATGGAGAAAAACTCAAGTCATAAACCAGATGGAAAACATTCCGTGTTCTGCCCTGGGACCAAGGGCTCACCTTTAATGAAAACAGCCTGGAACAGTGTGCTGCTGACGTGGACCTTGGCCTTCTGCAGATTAGCCCCCAGGGCCATCACAGGGCATCCATCTGCAGCTCTGCCTCAGCAAGCCTGAGCACTGGCTAAGCTCTGGGACCCCCCCACCCCAGTTCAGCCACACCAGGCAAGAGGCCAGAAAGTGGCCCCAGGAGCACCCTGGAGAGATGGCCATGGGGTGGGGGCAGAAACCCCCAGCTTCACCCACATTTGGTGGGCAGAGGGCCCCAGAGACTCAGACCAGCCCTCCAACCCCTTCCTCCCAGGGCCACAGCTCACCACCCTTACAGCTCTGGGCCAACCACAGAACTTCGGGTCTCCAAATGTTCCCTCATGCCCATAAATGAGTTGGGCATCACTAATTTAGGATTTAAGTCCCTGTCACTGTTCTTGCCACCTTGCACGCCTGCCCAGTGGCATGCAAGCTGATTTGTAGGGAGCCTCATGTAGGAAAAATAACACTGCTTACGAAGTACCCCAGGGGTTCACAAGAAAATGACTTGTTGATGCCTATAGCCCAGGCAATGGTCTTTATGAATGAGAAGGCCCCAGGTGCCTGTGGAAGCCCCTGTACTGCACGGTCGTCTGCTGCAGGCTCTTGTGAAGCCAGCAGGGCCAGTCCCTACCACCCTGGAAAACCCTAACGTCAGCCCACATCCACCTGCTGTGCCCAACTATTGCTGGAACCCCCAGGGCAAGGAACTTCCTATAGTGTGCTTTCATGGGGTGCCCACCAAGGGAGGCAAGCAGAGACAAGGATAGCAACACATGTGGAGAGCATGGCAGAGCCGTCAGCCCACTGGTCCACCCATCTAGATGGCTGGCAGCAGTAAACTTTGGCTGTGCCAGATTCACCAGCCAGATAGTGTTGGGAGCAAAGGTACTTACCACATTCCAGAAGAGTGGATTGAAAGCGATGGTGAGCACAGCTGCCACAAAGTTGGGATCCAAAGGGTCCACGTAACCCAACAGCCAGGTCATAACGCAGAGGTCTGCCTGTAGGACAGAGATGGTGTCAGCAGGAGACTTGACTAGCACTGCCCTGACTGCCAGGACCACAGAGCCCCCAGAACTTGGAGACAAAGTTACCCTCTGGGAACATGCCAGGAGGCTCAGGAACATGCAAGTCTCATTAATAGAAAGATAAAAAGCTGAAAACCAGTCAGCCGTGTCATGCTCTGGAGGGAGAACAACTGGGCCAGTAGCCGCAGAGGTATGTGTTAGGGTAGCCACAGCCCCCTCCAAGTTGGCTTACTGGAAACTCTCACCTGGCCCCAAAGAATCGCAAACATCCACCTTTAGTCATTTACTAGAAATTTCCCACCCGGCCTCGAAGAATGACCCACTCAGTCAGAGGGCTGATTAAGGATTTTCCTGCCCAGTGACCTTCCTGGGACATCTCCCCCTAACCTATAACTATTCCAAGTCTGTAAGAAGCAATGAGGTTCTGGCATTGGCAAGCCAGCTTGCTGTAAAAATGACCAGGAACAATTAGAGGCAACTGAAGTAGGCTTGGGGGTATGACTCAATGGTACAACATGTGTGAGGCCTTGGGTCCCATCCTCAGCACTGAAATATATATATATATATATTTACACACACATATACATAAATGAACAACCTAAGTGCCCATCAGTGGAAGATTGGAGAACCAAAATGTGGCCTGTGGCTGGGTATTTGCGGCTCATGCCTGTAATCCTGGCTACTCAGGCGGCAGAGATCAGGAGGACCATGGTTCAAGGCCAGCCCAGGCAAATAGTTCTCAGGGACCCTCTTGAAAAACCCATCACAACAAAAGGCCTGGTGGAGTGGCTCAAGCGGTAAGAGCACCTGCCTAGCAAGTATGAGGCCCTGAGTTCAAATCCCAGAACCAACAAAAAAAAATACATATATACATATATATATATATATATATATATATATATATATTTACATAGCCCATGTATAAAATAACTAAGCCACAGATATTAAATAGGCTACATCCATATGTGACAACATGTAGTTATCTCAGCCTTGGGGCCAGATTGTTTCATTGTGGGCTGGGCTGTGCATTCTAGGACATTTGGCAAACCCCCTGACCTCTGCCCACTGGATGATGGTAGTATGGCCACCAACATTGTCTCCAGACATTTCCAAACATCCTCTGGGAGCAAACTCCCCTTCAGTGAGACAATCTGTTCCAGAGGCCACAAGAGGGAATGATGAGCCACTTTCAATACTGGCTTCTTTCTATAATAAAGATAGATACCACTGACATTTTGGGTGGTTAATATTTCCTGAGTCCTCTCATTCTTCTCCAAACTTTCCCTTATTTTCCATTTTAGAAAGGATTTCAGAGGCCAAAGCACTGAAAATACCATGGTGTCTTTCCACATGCAATTCAAAATAAAAGCCACACTAACTTATAAAATACGGTCAAGGCCATCAGAGTTGTAAGCTCTGACGTGGTTTGTTTTGTTTCATTTGGGGATATAGTAAATTCCTTCAAAAAGTGCTTTTGTCTCTTATTTTGTGGGGTTGGGTGGGAAGGAAATGGGTTTGCCAGTGCCCCGCACACCCCCGAGTCACCCTGCCCTGCAGGGCAAGCAGCGGCCTCCACCCCAATTCTTGCTTCACCAAGTGACCTCCCCCTGGAGGAATTCAGTCTGCCATGGGCAGGAGGGCCATACACCACTCGAGAACAAAACCACGGGAACAGACCTCAAAAAGGCCACCCTGCCTGCAAAGGGAGGGAGGGGAGGCTAGCTGTGCAGCCCCAAAGCTTCTAGACCCTGGGGCTCAACAGAGAACTGGTCTTTCTTTTACTTATTAAGCACCCCTGATTGCAAGGCCTTGTCACTGACTGCAGGAGTTGCGGAGGAAGGAGAGAAGGAGGGAAGCCGGCCTCAGCACAGGAGGCCTGGCTTTGCTTGGCCACTTCCAGAGCATGTTGAGGTATGTCACCTCCTTCACTGTGGACAGCACACCCTTAGCCAGCAGGAAGGCCTCACTCTTCCTGACCCTTCCTCCCCATTCCCCATCTCATTCCTGGGCAAAATCTTACCTTGCTCATTCTCATGTCTAATTCCACCTCGTACAGAACCATTTAATCCACTCCCTACCTCGCCACCTACTTGACTGTGGCTTCCCCAGGGCACAGCAAAGGACCAGAATGGCCTCCTTCTTTCAACTCCCTGTGAGGCCTCCTTGATGGAGCCTTACCTCCTGCTGGCCACCCTCAACTAGGACACCTCCTACACATGGCTTATACATCCCACACACATTGGCAGGTGGATTCACACCTCCTGGCAAGGTGAACCTTCAAAACCTGGCCCATCTCTCACCTGCCACCCCAATTGCACACAGACCCTTTCACAATGGCTTCTTTGTATGCTTGGAATGCCTTCTATTCTTCTCATCCTACTAGCAATCTCATATTCATTTCTCAAAGCCCAGTTGGAGAATTCCTCTACCTCTCACCCAATTTTTTTATTATTATACCATCTTATAATAATTTCTCAGGCTAGGGACTATTTTTTTTTTATCTGTGTCTCCATTGTCCACGTCCCTGGTTGGCACAAACTATAAATATTCAGTAAGTGAATGGTGACCCTCATTTCATCATGAGTAAAACTTCAGGGCTAATAGTCATCTCTGAGGGGTTCGTCAGTTCAGCTGCCCTGTGGCCTCCTCCAGTCAGCCTTTGGAAGGAGACAAAAAATTGCCTAAGTGGTCCCTGCGGGGATTCTGCAAGCTGCCAGGCAGTCAGGCAGCTAGGCAGCAGGCCATCAATAACAGGTCCCTCTTGATGCAGGAGCAGGGCCCAGATTCACCAGCCACCCAGTCTCTGCTGCACAAATACTCATTTCTATGGCCTTTTTGGGACTGAAAAATGAAGCAATGCTTTCCAACAGTTGGCACCAGAGACACAGGACCATGGCTAGGGCTAGTAGCTCTGGCCCTACCCTGAACCACACTGCCCGCCCTCCCCTGCAGACACCACTCCCTCATTGTCACCTTGATCCCCTGGTCTGTGCAGTGGGTCAGAAGGTTCTATGAGACCCAGACCCACTCTAGAATTGTTACAGATAGAGCAGCTCTCAGCCAGCACATCTGACGATTTGCCAACTTTTAAAACATCAAAGCTGAGATGTGGCTGAGTGAAAGCCCTGGGTCCAATCCCCAGAACCACCAAAAAACAAAAAAAAATGTTGGGCATGCACGAAGGAGGCCCTTCCTTCCCCAGGAGTGGGGTCAAAGACCAGCAAGATGACCTGGCCTAATGGCATCACTAATGTCAGATACCAAGGTCAGTGAGCTGAGCACAAACCTTATTTCTTTCAATCCTCAATTCCCACAGACATTTAATGATCCCTTACAGACAAGGTTTTAATAGTCAGACATGCATCAAAGGTGAGCCTCTATGAGACTGCCATGAGGCGCCAGGTGGTCAGGGTGATAGACCCTGCCACCCACACTGTGGAGCAGAGATCTACAGCCAATCCTCAGCACACAGAGAAAAGGAAATCTTCTCCCCCAACCCTGTGAAGCAGAGGTTGTCCTCTTCCTCCTCCTTTGCTTTTTACAGAGGAAGAAGCAATTCATCCAGGGGTCTGACCATGCTGTCTCCCAGGGTTCCTTGGGACACCACTCTGGTGGCTGGCTACTCATGTCAGCCTCCAACTGAGCCCATAGCCTACAGTGCCTATCACACAACTTTGCAGATGCCTGTGAAGCTGGGAGCAGCTGAGAAAATGCACACCTGAGCTGCCCTGGAACAGCCGTCGTTGCCTGGGGCCAGTCTGTACCCTGGACACTGACTCTGAGCCACAGACCAGACAGTCTTACCCAAGCCAAAGAGGAAAGAGGGGAGAATGGATTGTGGGGTGGGGGTGGAAGTGGGAAGCAGGCAAGGCCTGGGGATACTGAACCAGGACAGCAGGCAAGGTTCTGGGGACCCTGGGAAGCTTGGAGTCTTTAGCACCGCCCACCCCACCCCCCTAGCAGTGGTGGCTTGGAGAACAAGGTAGAGGAGGGACCGCTGCCAGAGGAGGGTACAAGGGCAACTTCCAGAGCAAGAAAGCTGTCTGCTCAACATGGAAACTCTTCCCTTCTTGCCCCATGGGCCCTGGGGAGAAAACCGCTCTCTTGCAATTTTTGAGATTGTAAAGAATTCGACTCAATGCTATTCATCAAATGCTGGGCATGCACAAAGGTCGGTGGGTAGGAGTCAAAACCAACAAGATGATCTGGCCTGATAGCATCACCAATGTCAGTTACCAAGGTCAGTGAGCTGAGCACAAACCTTATTTCTTTCATCCTCAACCACCCTAAAAAGAAGTCATTGTCAGGCCTTCACTGCAGTTAAGACAGAGGCATGGAGACATCTGTAAATTCCAGTCTGTGAGGGGCAGAGTCAGCCAGCCCAGTGCTCCTGGACTACTGGCAGAAGTCCCACAAGATGTGGGCCTCTTGACCAAAGAAGGTCCTAGTCCTGTGCCAGCAGACAAGGAGAAAAGTTAGAGTTTCTGAGTCCTAAACCCTACCATGAGACATGGAAGTAGGCAAAAGAAATATGCTTCTGTTAACTTCTGTGACAGCCAAGGTGAAGAAGGGAAACTGAGGCACTCAAAGACTAGCCAACTAACATAGCTAAACCCAGCTGCAATTGACATCAGTCTGGGTCTCCCAATTAGGGCCAAACTGATCCAAACCTGAAAATGGCTCTACTATCCCCCTCCAGCCTGGTCCCAGTGCCCTGGTCAGCCTGGCTCAGCAGGCAGGAGGAGCTCATCAGACAGCCTGGGTCACCTTAAGAGTTAGTGTTGCCTGGTGAAGAACCTGATAACCAGGAAAGAATGACTAGTAGCTCAAAGTGGGGTCTAGGCAACAGAGGGGCATCCTCCTTACTCCCCACTCCCCATTCAAGAGATATGAAGTTCCCTTCCTGATTGCTGTCACTTCCCAAAGCCCACTCTGAAGGGCAAAATTCCTCCTAAAACTATAGTAGATGGGCA